ATCACTGGAACTCCTTGCATTAGTGTGTTGTAGATCACGGCCCTGCTCTCCTAACTCCCGCTGCAATTTCCAATCCACCATGAACAACAGCGTCCCATCTGAAGTCCTAACCCTTTCTGTCCATCCACCACCACATAGGTCTTGGACCTCTTCCTCGATGATGGTCTTGGGGGCTGCTACTCTCATGGCTCTCATAGCAACCACGTCGTCGGTTAGGTCCACAGGCGCGCTGAAGCCTAAATAGGCTAACTGGTCCTTGTCTGCAGTCGTAAGTCGGCCCACTCTCGCTGGCGTGTAACCGATGATTGTAATACGATCTCCAGGACCTCCGTTCCATGGCATCACAGCGTGTCTCCTCCTCGGGTTGAACGACATGAGCACACTCTCCTTCAATCCCAACGCCGTTCCATAATGAGATTTGCCTGCCTTATCTTTGAGCTCCAGGATCTTTCCGGCAATCACATCTCCATTGCACAGCTCAATCCATAGATCTCCTCCTCGGCGTGGAAGTCGGAGGGGGTACACGTAGTTATATGTTCCGGCTTCGTTGCGGGAATCCATGTGAAGGCCTTTATCCCCATCCACCGACAAGTAGATCGACGCGAACTCTGCATCCGGATCGACCTCTTGGATGATTCTGACCATCACCTTGGCAATCCATGGGTACTCGTAGGATGCCCTCGTCAGTCCCATAACACCTCCATGTCGGAACACGCCGTACTTATTGGCCACGTTAGGAAGTAGTGCGCAAGCTTGGATCACCAGGTCTTCGGCTCTTTCAATGTTCCAGTCTTGCAGGACCTTCTCTGCTTCCTTTCGTAGCTCATCTTCAATTTCCAGGGGACTTACCTGGTGCATGGTTGTAATCGTCGATAGTCCCGGGGTTTTTTCTCGAAGTCTTCGTCGTGGTTCTCGAGGGGGTTCGGCTTCCATGACTTCTTCTGGAGGTCCAGGATCGTGTACATGTGGTCTCACATGTAGGGTGTGTAAGAACCGGCTACCCTCGTGGTCCACGTAGACAAGGTGACCCCCACGTACAGTATCCGACAAACCCAGGTAGTAGCCCTCTTCCCACCGTGGCGCTAAGTCATCCAATTTTCCACCATGGTGCGCCCCGACGTAGGATTTCTTCTTGATGAGGACCTTGGATCCGAAGGGGGCGGCCAGCTTCGTCTCAAATCCCAGTACACTAGCACGCTGTTGGGCACAAGCATACTGGACTGCACTCGGCCACAATTGTTGAGGTAGTCGAGCTCCGGCTAGCAGTGTCCTTGCCCTCTGTTTAACCCACCTCACCGTGCTTTCTGCGGTTCCATTGGACTGATGCTCTCCTCCTTCGCTGCTTGTCATTCTTATCCCTTGGTCCTTAATCCACCGCCTTGACCCTTTTGCGAAGAACTCCATGGACCTGTCGCAGTGGAACCTCAAGATCGGGATGTTGTAGGCTTGGGCGTAGTGCACTACATCTTGAATGGCTTCTAGAACTGTAGCGCTCTTGTTGTCTCCCAGGCCATTGGCAAAGATCAAGTTCACCATTTCGGGGGCCGTTTGGTCATCTTCAAACATCACGCGGTTGCCGGCTGATGAGTCCTTTTGCTCGACCTCAATGAAACCTTCTGGCTGCTCCTCCTCCTCCTCGTCCATTTCTCCTTCTTCATGACCATCTCCAGAACCTGAAGCAGTTGGATTCTCCTCATGGTGAGTGGTTAGACCATCATCCGGCTCCTCTGTTTCCTCCCGAGAAATTTCCGGCAACTCAAATTCCACTCCCACGCCTCGTCCATCATCAACGAAGCTTCGGGGTATTTTGAGCTTTGCCACGAAGAGGTAGGGGAACTTCTTTGGGGCACGACCTCTCCCATGTGAATCTAGTCCGTGCTGCTTCAGCGGGCCAGATAAATCTGCCGTGAGGACAAAGGCGTCGGGATGTTCGACTTTGGAATGCCTCCTTCCTGTTGCGCCGGCCTGCACGCACGTCAGACAATCCCTCCTAAATGGGAGATGCCCTCTTCGAACGTGGTCCTTCCATTGCTCTACTGACATAGCCAACATCCGGGGCACTTTTCCATGGATGATCAATGCCTTGACGATCGCCTCCACCAGCTCTGGAGCCCACGCCGCCAGCTCATGTGATTGTCCTGACCACGGATCTAGGTCTCCTTCGGTCTTCACTCCATTCAGGTAACTGAGGGCGACAAGGTTCGTTCCCAGCGTGGTCGGCTTTCGCGTTTGATGTCCGAGAGCGCCCTGCTCCAGGGAGTACATTGCCAGGCCAGCTTCTTGAGCGTAGCTGTGCCACATTCCACTTCGCCAGAAGCTCACTGCTCGAGCATGGAGCTCGTGGTCCCAAGGCAAGTATTCTTGAGGGTCCCGTGGCTGTTCCAACAAGAAGGCAACTTCCCTGTTCTGCTCTGGACTTGGATTGGCCACCACTTTCCCCGCCGTAGATAAAGCATGCAGGTAGATCATCCGCACGTACAAGGCAGTGTCCTTTATGACCAAGCTTTCATCCGCCGCCGATTGACCTTCCCAGCCACCGTACGGGTAGTCATTGGAACGCACAGGAGCGGGACCCGGGGATTTGTATCTCAGCAAAGAATAGGTTCGACACGGTGGTCCTCCAATCACCCCGCTGATTTTTCCTCTCCGTGCCGCCCACTCCAATGCCCTCCATACCGCTGGGTTCATTATGTCGTGGGAAGACCCCCTTTCGATGTCCAACTCCAGGAGCACATAGCCATTCTTCTCCAGGTACTTGTACTCTTCTCGGGGTTGTTTTCCAGCAAAGAGGTGCACAATCCACCGTTCTGACTCGTGAAGCCGCTTCCTGGTTCTTCGGTTGAGATGTGTCAGGCCTCTGAGCGCGTCCCAGCCGTTACCTTCAGGATATCCCTCAGTGAGTCCTTGCTTGGCAGGCAAGGGCACCTCCTGAAAAAAGGGGGCTTCACCAACTGCTTGCACGGCGTCTGTGGCTCGATCACTGCGACAGAACTGAATCAGGTGATCGAACCATGTTTTGTTCAAAGACACCGCAGCCTGTCGAACTCTCTCTTGGGTGTTGGCGACGTTGGTCTTCAAGCTGTTCAACTTCTCCTCCTCGAGCCTGGCAATAAGGTTGAGGGCTTGACACTCAGCAACCTCCGGACATCCATTACGAACTCGAAGATGGTGTACATCACCTGCTCGACCCACTAACCGACACTTCTTCGAGTTCCACTCTAGGGTGTAGCCCAGTTGCTGCACCAGGGATCCAAGGGGCACGATCGGAGCTGTCCCTTCTTTCCCAGTTGATGGGACCAAGAGGGTTCCACCTTCATTCATTCTCAGCGACACACTTTCCCCCCCAGCCAAGGTCACTATCACGGGCGAGGCTTCCCACCATTCTTCATCTGTCCAAGCTCGCCGAAGGGGATGCGTGGCTCCGGAATCCATCAAGGCGTAGACATCCTCCACATCCAGGTGTGCCGTGTCGTTCTTCTTCAAAGTCATTACCTTCATACTTGGCGCTTTTGGCTCCGGAGGTGAAGATGTCGGGGTCGCCTGGACGACCTGGGCGGCTGCCTTTAACAAGGCTTCCATGGTCCATACTGGATCTCCCTGTATTGGCGGTCCCACTTCCGGGGGAATTTGATCTTCGAATGTGACCTGTTGCGCCCGTGGTGCCGTAGAGGGGGTAGTCGAGGATGTACTCTTGGGGCTTCCATCGGGTAGAGCTTTGGGAGGTTTTTGAGGCTTTGTGGTAGGACATTCACGTTGCCGATGTTCTTCACTGCCACAAACCAAACACTTCTTTGATCTTTCTCCCTTGCTCAACATCCCCACGTCGTGGCCATACAGACACTTGGCTCCTCGTCGGCATCCTTGCGTCTTGAAGAAGTATCTACATGCAGGTTTTCCCTTTGTTGGCGATTGAAGATCTCCCTGCTCGGCTCCAGATTTTGGCATCACTGCTCGAAGCTTTGGATTTCCTGCTCCATGATCCCCTCCCGCTGCTATAAGGTTCTCGATCTCCGCTTGCAAGTGTTGCTGGTACTGGTGGACACTGGTCACTGAAGGCTGCCCATCAATTCGCAACGTCGACCTCAGCAGCTGAGTCCGAAAACTGGCGTCTTGGCTCCCAGAAAGGAACTTTGCCGTTACAGCCGTCAGAGCCTTGGCCAAGACAGAACCATCTGGGTGTGTCATGCCCATGTCCTCACAGCGCTGCATCGATCTCGGCCACGTCCGCAGCGTCGCGAGGCACTGCGCCAATGTCTCCGGAACCGGAGGGTCCTGAAGGACTTGCAGGATCTTCGCTCTCTCGTGTGGGCCGCCCGGCTGATACACCGTGTGGAGCCTAAACAGCAAAGCGACCATGCTCTGCGTCGATCTTCTTCCAACCAGATCCTCCTTGACTGCATCATCAAGTGAAGCCAAGACCAAAGTGCAAGCTCGCGCATTGATCCGTGTCCAGCGACCGGTGGTGTAGACCGAGTCCTTGTGCGGGTAGATTTGCAATCGCTCTAGAGGGGTAGCAGACAACCATCTTGCGTACGCTACTCCAACCTCTCTAACCACATCCTCCCACCAAGCACCGGACGACGCTGACAGGTCTTGCATGCACGTGCTCACCAAGGACAACCAATCTTGCAGTTGTACTCCCGCAGCATCTCCTTGTGGTGCCTTGAGTGATGGAAGCGCAGGGATACTGGACTTCACCTGCTCCGGGCTCCCATCTTCTTCCTTTCTAAAGGATTGAACTTGCAATTCCTGCAGTTGTTGGATGCTCTTTGTAATCGCATCTAGCAAATTGGGCGGATTCTGAGGCAATGAAGAGCTGGACGTTGGCATAGTCGGCCCCATGACATTATGACCCTCAATCCCAGCAAGTTCTCCTTCCACACGCGGGGCCTTCTTTGACTCTGCTGTTGCTCGATCTTGCCCTACTCGTCCTGCACCTCCTTCTGCTAGTCCATCCCGACTTGCTCCCAAGCGCCCTGAAATCTCACCCCACAAACTGCCTAGCAGATCTCGCCGTACTTCTCGATGTTCTGAAGGTCGTGCTGATCCTGCCGCCGGCGCCATGTACTGGGATGATTGAAGTTCTCGAGGGCCAGCTTCTACTTCAGGTTCTGTGGAAGCTCTAGGTACATTGGGAGGTCGTAAAACACGAGGAATATGGGGCTCTTCTAAGGCTTGAGGTACTGGAGGGACACTTGGTTCAGTAGAGGGTAGAGGTACTCGAGGGCCACGTGGTTCAATAGAAACTCGAGGTTCTCGAGGAGCAAGCGCAGCAGCTGCGGTCCGATACTCTTGATCTCGTTGCTCCAGCTGCTTCTGCAAGCGGGCATTCTCGGCCTCAGACCGCTGCAATCTTTCCAGTAATCCACCCAGCTGACGTTGAACTTCAGCTTGGATAGCTTCGGCTGGCACACTGGACGAACTAGGCGGAGACGGCGGCTTCACAGCCATTGGTGGTCCCTGCACTAACGTGTCAGGACTTGGCGCCGCTCGAGCTCCGTCGCTTTTTCCATGCCTAGACCTCACTTCAGATATCGGAGATGGCAAGTGGCTGGGGATCCATGTTGCTGGCACTTGAGGGGCCCTGAACATGTCCGTCAGACGTTGCATCCATCGTGGCCACTGTTCTCCTTCTCCACGTGAAAATTGCTGGAAATGTCCAGCCACGGAGCCATACTGGCGCTCCACTCCAGTCGCTCTCAAAGATCTCGGCGTCATGAATCCGGCCGAGCCCACATCTCTGTCTCCTGTCTCTTCAGTGCCAACCAGAAGTGGATTCATTTCCAGCGCGGCGTCTCGTTGTGGTTGCAGGTGCACCGGATCAACTGTGCTTCGGGCGCCTTGGGCGTCTACATTAGCACCAGCTCTCATCCCCACACTTGCAGCTTCCAAGTTCCGCGCCATATTTCCACTACCAGCAGCACCACCACCAGTTGCAGCGCCGTCGAAATCACTCATTTGTTGGCTCACCAGGCTTCTTGGCATGGTCCCATAAGAGTATTCTGCCCGAGGCGCTCGCTCATCTCGAACCACCGCTTGAGGTTCCGGATCTCCCATGCCACTGCTGGACGTCGGAGCATCATTTCGGGACCCTTCCGCAGTTGAGCCACCAGGTTCCAAGGCGGCCCCATCCACTATGCCACTGGTCACGCCCGCAGTTTCGTCCGCTGGCTCCAAGCTTGCAGCTCCATCTGGATCTTGTGCTTGGCGATTAAGCGTAGATTGGGCTCATAACCTCTGAATCGACCTTATACCTGGTCAATATAATGTGCCCACCCCTTGCAAAATCACTGGAACTCCTTGCATTAGTGTGTTGTAGATCACGGCCCTGCTCTCCTAACTCCCGCTGCAATTTCCAATCCACCATGAACAACAGCGTCCCATCTGAAGTCCTAACCCTTTCTGTCCATCCACCACCACATAGGTCTTGGACCTCTTCCTCGATGATGGTCTTGGGGGCTGCTACTCTCATGGCTCTCATAGCAACCACGTCGTCGGTTAGGTCCACAGGCGCGCTGAAGCCTAAATAGGCTAACTGGTCCTTGTCTGCAGTCGTAAGTCGGCCCACTCTCGCTGGCGTGTAACCGATGATTGTAATACGATCTCCAGGACCTCCGTTCCATGGCATCACAGCGTGTCTCCTCCTCGGGTTGAACGACATGAGCACACTCTCCTTCAATCCCAACGCCGTTCCATAATGAGATTTGCCTGCCTTATCTTTGAGCTCCAGGATCTTTCCGGCAATCACATCTCCATTGCACAGCTCAATCCATAGATCTCCTCCTCGGCGTGGAAGTCGGAGGGGGTACACGTAGTTATATGTTCCGGCTTCGTTGCGGGAATCCATGTGAAGGCCTTTATCCCCATCCACCGACAAGTAGATCGACGCGAACTCTGCATCCGGATCGACCTCTTGGATGATTCTGACCATCACCTTGGCAATCCATGGGTACTCGTAGGATGCCCTCGTCAGTCCCATAACACCTCCATGTCGGAACACGCCGTACTTATTGGCCACGTTAGGAAGTAGTGCGCAAGCTTGGATCACCAGGTCTTCGGCTCTTTCAATGTTCCAGTCTTGCAGGACCTTCTCTGCTTCCTTTCGTAGCTCATCTTCAATTTCCAGGGGACTTACCTGGTGCATGGTTGTAATCGTCGATAGTCCCGGGGTTTTTTCTCGAAGTCTTCGTCGTGGTTCTCGAGGGGGTTCGGCTTCCATGACTTCTTCTGGAGGTCCAGGATCGTGTACATGTGGTCTCACATGTAGGGTGTGTAAGAACCGGCTACCCTCGTGGTCCACGTAGACAAGGTGACCCCCACGTACAGTATCCGACAAACCCAGGTAGTAGCCCTCTTCCCACCGTGGCGCTAAGTCATCCAATTTTCCACCATGGTGCGCCCCGACGTAGGATTTCTTCTTGATGAGGACCTTGGATCCGAAGGGGGCGGCCAGCTTCGTCTCAAATCCCAGTACACTAGCACGCTGTTGGGCACAAGCATACTGGACTGCACTCGGCCACAATTGTTGAGGTAGTCGAGCTCCGGCTAGCAGTGTCCTTGCCCTCTGTTTAACCCACCTCACCGTGCTTTCTGCGGTTCCATTGGACTGATGCTCTCCTCCTTCGCTGCTTGTCATTCTTATCCCTTGGTCCTTAATCCACCGCCTTGACCCTTTTGCGAAGAACTCCATGGACCTGTCGCAGTGGAACCTCAAGATCGGGATGTTGTAGGCTTGGGCGTAGTGCACTACATCTTGAATGGCTTCTAGAACTGTAGCGCTCTTGTTGTCTCCCAGGCCATTGGCAAAGATCAAGGTCACCATTTCGGGGGCCGTTTGGTCATCTTCAAACATCACGCGGTTGCCGGCTGATGAGTCCTTTTGCTCGACCTCAATGAAACCTTCTGGCTGCTCCTCCTCCTCCTCGTCCATTTCTCCTTCTTCATGACCATCTCCAGAACCTGAAGCAGTTGGATTCTCCTCATGGTGAGTGGTTAGACCATCATCCGGCTCCTCTGTTTCCTCCCGAGAAATTTCCGGCAACTCAAATTCCACTCCCACGCCTCGTCCATCATCAACGAAGCTTCGGGGTATTTTGAGCTTTGCCACGAAGAGGTAGGGGAACTTCTTTGGGGCACGACCTCTCCCATGTGAATCTAGTCCGTGCTGCTTCAGCGGGCCAGATAAATCTGCCGTGAGGACAAAGGCATCGGGATGTTCGACTTTGGAATGCCTCCTTCCTGTTGCGCCGGCCTGCACACACGTCAGGCAATCCCTCCTAAATGGGAGATGCCCTCTTCGAACGTGGTCCTTCCATTGCTCTACTGACATAGCCAACATCCGGGGCACTTTTCCATGGATGATCAATGCCTTGACGATCGCCTCCACCAGCTCTGGAGCCCACGCCGCCAGCTCATGTGATTGTCCTGACCACGGATCTAGATCTCCTTCGGTCTTCACTCCATTCAGGTAACTGAGGGCGACAAGGTTCGTTCCCAGCGTGGTCGGCTTTCGCGTTTGATGTCCGAGAGCGCCCTGCTCCAGGGAGTACATTGCCAGGCCAGCTTCTTGAGCGTAGCTGTGCCACATTCCACTTCGCCAGAAGCTCACTGCTCGAGCATGGAGCTCGTGGTCCCAAGGCAAGTATTCTTGAGGGTCCCGTGGCTGTTCCAACAAGAAGGCAACTTCCCTGTTCTGCTCTGGACTTGGATTGGCCACCACTTTCCCCGCCGTAGATAAAGCATGCAGGTAGATCATCCGCACGTACAAGGCAGTGTCCTTTATGACCAAGCTTTCATCCGCCGCCGATTGACCTTCCCAGCCACCGTACGGGTAGTCATTGGAACGCACAGGAGCGGGACCCGGGGATTTGTATCTCAGCAAAGAATAGGTTCGACACGGTGGTCCTCCAATCACCCCGCTGATTTTTCCTCTCCGTGCCGCCCACTCCAATGCCCTCCATACCGCTGGGTTCATTATGTCGTGGGAAGACCCCCTTTCGATGTCCAACTCCAGGAGCACATAGCCATTCTTCTCCAGGTACTTGTACTCTTCTCGGGGTTGTTTTCCAGCAAAGAGGTGCACAATCCACCGTTCTGACTCGTGAAGCCGCTTCCTGGTTCTTCGGTTGAGATGTGTCAGGCCTCTGAGCGCGTCCCAGCCGTTACCTTCAGGATATCCCTCAGTGAGTCCTTGCTTGGCAGGCAAGGGCACCTCCTGAAAAAAGGGGGCTTCACCAACTGCTTGCACGGCGTCTGTGGCTCGATCACTGCGACAGAACTGAATCAGGTGATCGAACCATGTTTTGTTCAAAGACACCGCAGCCTGTCGAACTCTCTCTTGGGTGTTGGCGACGTTGGTCTTCAAGCTGTTCAACTTCTCCTCCTCGAGCCTGGCAATAAGGTTGAGGGCTTGACACTCAGCAACCTCCGGACATCCATTACGAACTCGAAGATGGTGTACATCACCTGCTCGACCCACTAACCGACACTTCTTCGAGTTCCACTCTAGGGTGTAGCCCAGTTGCTGCACCAGGGATCCAAGGGGCACGATCGGAGCTGTCCCTTCTTTCCCAGTTGATGGGACCAAGAGGGTTCCACCTTCATTCATTCTCAGCGACACACTTTCCCCCCCAGCCAAGGTCACTATCACGGGCGAGGCTTCCCACCATTCTTCATCTGTCCAAGCTCGCCGAAGGGGATGCGTGGCTCCGGAATCCATCAAGGCGTAGACATCCTCCACATCCAGGTGTGCCGTGTCGTTCTTCTTCAAAGTCATTACCTTCATACTTGGCGCTTTTGGCTCCGGAGGTGAAGATGTCGGGGTCGCCTGGACGACCTGGGCGGCTGCCTTTAACAAGGCTTCCATGGTCCATACTGGATCTCCCTGTATTGGCGGTCCCACTTCCGGGGGAATTTGATCTTCGAATGTGACCTGTTGCGCCCGTGGTGCCGTAGAGGGGGTAGTCGAGGATGTACTCTTGGGGCTTCCATCGGGTAGAGCTTTGGGAGGTTTTTGAGGCTTTGTGGTAGGACATTCACGTTGCCGATGTTCTTCACTGCCACAAACCAAACACTTCTTTGATCTTTCTCCCTTGCTCAACATCCCCACGTCGTGGCCATACGGACACTTGGCTCCTCGTCGGCATCCTTGCGTCTTGAAGAAGTATCTACATGCAGGTTTTCCCTTTGTTGGCGATTGAAGATCTCCCTGCTCGGCTCCAGATTTTGGCATCACTGCTCGAAGCTTTGGATTTCCTGCTCCATGATCCCCTCCCGCTGCTATAAGGTTCTCGATCTCCGCTTGCAAGTGTTGCTGGTACTGGTGGACACTGGTCACTGAAGGCTGCCCATCAATTCGCAACGTCGACCTCAGCAGCTGAGTCCGAAAACTGGCGTCTTGGCTCCCAGAAAGGAACTTTGCCGTTACAGCCGTCAGAGCCTTGGCCAAGACAGAACCATCTGGGTGTGTCATGCCCATGTCCTCACAGCGCTGCATCGATCTCGGCCACGTCCGCAGCGTCGCGAGGCACTGCGCCAATGTCTCCGGAACCGGAGGGTCCTGAAGGACTTGCAGGATCTTCGCTCTCTCGTGTGGGCCGCCCGGCTGATACACCGTGTGGAGCCTAAACAGCAAAGCGACCATGCTCTGCGTCGATCTTCTTCCAACCAGATCCTCCTTGACTGCATCATCAAGTGAAGCCAAGACCAAAGTGCAAGCTCGCGCATTGATCCGTGTCCAGCGACCGGTGGTGTAGACCGAGTCCTTGTGCGGGTAGATTTGCAATCGCTCTAGAGGGGTAGCAGACAACCATCTTGCGTACGCTACTCCAACCTCTCTAACCACATCCTCCCACCAAGCACCGGACGACGCTGACAGGTCTTGCATGCACGTGCTCACCAAGGACAACCAATCTTGCAGTTGTACTCCCGCAGCATCTCCTTGTGGTGCCTTGAGTGATGGAAGCGCAGGGATACTGGACTTCACCTGCTCCGGGCTCCCATCTTCTTCCTTTCTAAAGGATTGAACTTGCAATTCCTGCAGTTGTTGGATGCTCTTTGTAATCGCATCTAGCAAATTGGGCGGATTCTGAGGCAATGAAGAGCTGGACGTTGGCATAGTCGGCCCCATGACATTATGACCCTCAATCCCAGCAAGTTCTCCTTCCACACGCGGGGCCTTCTTTGACTCTGCTGTTGCTCGATCTTGCCCTACTCGTCCTGCACCTCCTTCTGCTAGTCCATCCCGACTTGCTCCCAAGCGCCCTGAAATCTCACCCCACAAACTGCCTAGCAGATCTCGCCGTACTTCTCGATGTTCTGAAGGTCGTGCTGATCCTGCCGCCGGCGCCATGTACTGGGATGATTGAAGTTCTCGAGGGCCAGCTTCTACTTCAGGTTCTGTGGAAGCTCTAGGTACATTGGGAGGTCGTAAAACACGAGGAATATGGGGCTCTTCTAAGGCTTGAGGTACTGGAGGGACACTTGGTTCAGTAGAGGGTAGAGGTACTCGAGGGCCACGTGGTTCAATAGAAACTCGAGGTTCTCGAGGAGCAAGCGCAGCAGCTGCGGTCCGATACTCTTGATCTCGTTGCTCCAGCTGCTTCTGCAAGCGGGCATTCTCGGCCTCAGACCGCTGCAATCTTTCCAGTAATCCACCCAGCTGACGTTGAACTTCAGCTTGGATAGCTTCGGCTGGCACACTGGACGAACTAGGCGGAGACGGCGGCTTCACAGCCATTGGTGGTCCCTGCACTAACGTGTCAGGACTTGGCGCCGCTCGAGCTCCGTCGCTTTTTCCATGCCTAGACCTCACTTCAGATATCGGAGATGGCAAGTGGCTGGGGATCCATGTTGCTGGCACTTGAGGGGCCCTGAACATGTCCGTCAGACGTTGCATCCATCGTGGCCACTGTTCTCCTTCTCCACGTGAAAATTGCTGGAAATGTCCAGCCACGGAGCCATACTGGCGCTCCACTCCAGTCGCTCTCAAAGATCTCGGCGTCATGAATCCGGCCGAGCCCACATCTCTGTCTCCTGTCTCTTCAGTGCCAACCAGAAGTGGATTCATTTCCAGCGCGGCGTCTCGTTGTGGTTGCAGGTGCACCGGATCAACTGTGCTTCGGGCGCCTTGGGCGTCTACATTAGCACCAGCTCTCATCCCCACACTTGCAGCTTCCAAGTTCCGCGCCATATTTCCACTACCAGCAGCACCACCACCAGTTGCAGCGCCGTCGAAATCACTCATTTGTTGGCTCACCAGGCTTCTTGGCATGGTCCCATAAGAGTATTCTGCCCGAGGCGCTCGCTCATCTCGAACCACCGCTTGAGGTTCCGGATCTCCCATGCCACTGCTGGACGTCGGAGCATCATTTCGGGACCCTTCCGCAGTTGAGCCACCAGGTTCCAAGGCGGCCCCATCCACTATGCCACTGGTCACGCCCGCAGTTTCGTCCGCTGGCTCCAAGCTTGCAGCTCCATCTGGATCTTGTGCTTGGCGATTAAGCGTAGATTGGGCTCATAACCTCTGAATCGACCTTATACCTGGTCAATATAATGTGCCCACCCCTTGCCCGCCCCAACACTCACAAGTAGAGTGTGCGGTGGGGTAAGGACGCGCGCCGGCAAGGCGCCTTACGGGCTGCAGCTCACTACGCACTCCCCCCACTCCAACGCGCAGGGATGGAGTGCTTCCCCGCTGCAGCTCCCCCCAACCTGTCGACTAGGCCGTCGGGCTTGAGCCACCGCACCGACTGTTAGGCGCCCAGCCATCCCTGTTAATAGCACGCTGCTGTAGCTGCCACGCCTCTTGCGCCGCCCACAGCCCTAGCATGCCCCGTGCCGCCCAAGACCAGCAACCACCAAGCAACCTAAGTGACACCACCTATGGCCAAGCCGCCCCAGAGTCCAGACCACCCCCATTGCATCTCCATAGCATCTCGTGCCTTTGGTCCAGGCAGCCCCCCCAGTTCCCGGCAACCCCCAAGAATGCTCCATCACCAGGCCCTGCAGCTGCAAGCTTCTTGAGTCCCGGCCACCTTCCACGAAGTCACGCAGCAAGCGTGAGTTTGGGCTCATAACCTGAGGAAATCTCGAATTGGGTGTCTATGCAGAGACACATCGGCGATTGAAATCCATTGCTGCACGCTCGATGTTTTACTCCTGCTGCGCGACCAGATAAAAAGCTCTATGCTTAGGGTTGTGTACACTGGTCTAAAAGCGACTTATGTCCTTGCATGGCTCACATTCGGCTCTGCGTTTTGCGTGCCTTATGTGTTGTGACTTAGTCACTCGAAATCTGCGTGACCCAAGGGCTTGTTCTCGTAGCCTTCCCTTGAGGGAGCGGCGAGGTCGACTGTGATCTTGCCCATCATCATGCTCCATGTGACTGACTTTCTTCACTAACCCTAAACCCTAAACCCTAAACCCTAAACCTCCGCCATCCTGAGGAGACCTTTGCAGGCCTAGGGAAGGCCCTTGTTTCCTCTTTTGGGGGGTTCTTTGGTTCCCTTAAAAGGGTTACAATCTTAAGGGTTCAAGGTAGAACTAGACCTAAACCCTAAACCCTAAACCCCAAACCCTAAACCCTAAACCCTAGACCCTAAACCCTAAACCCTAAACCCTGAACCCTGAACCCTAAACCCTGAACCCTAAACCCTAAACCCTAAACCCTAAACCCTAAAGCTCCCACTGTCAGCGCCGCTGCACAGCAGGCCTGGGACGTGCCCCGTGCCTTCGTGGTTTCGTCTGCCGCGGGGCAAGGGGCAAAGAGAAGAAGTTGACGCAGGTGCGCTGTCCTACACACCTAAGTTTAGGGTCTGGGGTTTGGGGTTTGGGGTTTAGCGTTTGACCCTAAACCCCAAACAGTTTGTTGGGGTAGGTGGGTTAGGAGTTAAAGTTCAGGGTTTTGGCGCCGGAGCCTCTCAAACCCTTTCCAGGGCAAGACCCCGAGTCCGATTACAAGCCCTCACCCCCCCCCCAAAAAAAAAACAAACATTAATAATAACAAATAAATACATAAACATATAAATAAAATAAATAAATATATAAATAAATAAATATGAATATAAATAAATAAGTAAATATAAATATAAATAAATAAATAAATAAATATATATATATATATTTATTTATTTATTTATTTGTAAAGATGAAACCCTAAGCCTGGCCTGCCCGGGTGCAGCGCCTGAGACGCTCCGCATGCTTCAGAGACTTGAAAACAGGATCCCCGTTGTGCCCCCCCGCTCCCCACAAGCGGGTTTAGGGTTTAGGGTTTAGGGTTTAGGGTGGGGCTTCCTGTATGTCCAAGCTTCCGAAGCCCTGCCAGCCCTAAACTTTCAACCCTAAGCCCTAGACGCTAACCCCTAAACCCTGCGCAGGTAGGAGGATCCCAAGAGCTGAAATTCGCCTGAGTTTTCCACCGCACTTTGTTAGTCATGGGATTGTTTAGGGTTTAGGGTTTAGGGTTTAAGGTTTAGGGTTTAGGGTTTAGGGTTGTGGGGGGGGGGGGGGTTGGGGTTTCGTGATGTAACAATTTTCAAGGGGGGATTGGGGCTGTGGTGGCGGATCCCAGGGCCTGCAAGTCAGTAAGCTTCCAGACCCAAAGCCGCAAACCCCTAAACCCTATAATGCCCCAGATTGCCCTGTCCTGTACCCGAAACCCTGTGCCCTGAACCCTGAACCCTGACCCCTAAACCCTAAACCCTAAACCCTCAACCCTCAACCCTAAACCCTATACCCTCAGCCCTAAACCCTAAACCCTAAACCCTAGACCCTAAACCCTAACCCGTAAACCCTAAACCCTAAACCCTAAGCCCTAAACCCTAAACCCTAAACCCCAACTGCTCTCCCAAACTGCACTCCCAGGAGGTGCTCGAGGAGCTCCTGCCCGCCTTCAAGCAAGGACTCGGGGGAACCGGAAGAGGGGTTTGGGGCTATTAGGGGTTTGGGGGTTTAGGGTTTAGGGTTTAGGGTTTAGGGTTTGTGGTTTAGGGTTTAGGGTTTAGGGTTTGGGGTTTAGGGGTTTAGGGGTTTAGGGTTTAGGGTTTGTGGTTTAGGGTTTGGGGTTTAGGGTTTGGGGTTTAGGGTTCTCCGTTTAGGGCTTGGGGCTTAGCTGCCGACAGGGCAAGCCGCAGGCACCTCTCGGAACCAGTTTCATGTTGTGCTCGGTTTCTTTTGACGCCGGGATCGATGCCTTGGTTCTGCACGCTTCCTGCTTCGGGAGAAGCCCGCGCCACGAGGGTTGAGAAATAAAAATTCGGGGTTGGTGTATGTTGCAATGTTAGAGTGCACGCACCGCACCCTTTCCACATGTTCATGTATGCTGTGCTTCTTCTTGCTTATGTGCTCAGGGTATACCATTTGGGTATATATTGGTATTGTGTTCAAACCCGTCCTACTAATTAGGTTTTGTCTCAGGAACTATCCACTTGTGTGGCATTAAACCAGAAACTGCATTCATTGGCACAGTCAACCTCTCTTACAGGTTAGCAGTGCTGGTTGTTGTGAGCTGCATCTGCATCATTGGCACAGTCAGCCGTTTATGTGGAAGGAGGAGCCAAATTAGATTAGAGACTCGTCTTTTCTCTTCATGGTGTTTTTTGTGCATATGAGGAAAACTTACTGCACAAAGCCTGAGTGTGTGAGTTGCAGATTATCGTCGGCGTGAAGATGCAGAGAACTCTGAAGCAGATTCCGCCCTAACTCATTCCTAAACTCGAGCAACCCGAAACAAGATTTGCCGGTTGACCCTAAGGCTCTAAGGCCTCTTATTGTGGGTTTTTTGGGCCCAAAGGTCTTCTTATGTAAGGTTCTCTGGGACTATTTTGAGCCTAAGGGTTAGGGCTCTGGGAAGTCTAGGGTTTAGGGTTTAGGGCTTAGGCTCCCCCGTGCATGGTCGAGTTAAGATCTCTCTGGGTTGTGCTGTGCCTGCAGCACACGGCTTTCTCCTTGGGGAGCCACTGCTGGGCATTCTCTGTAAGAAGCTGGGACCCTAGCATTCCTAGGTTGGATAAGGGCGCCTAAGCCCTGAACCCGAACTCCTAAACTAAACCCCAAGCCTTCACACCTCCATACAAACCTAGGTAGGCCCTTGGGATATTTTCTCTTATTGGGTTTTAAGAGGATCATGTT